CCGCGGGCTGCGGGAGCTGTCCCGGGTGCTGAAAACCTGCCCGGCCTGTGCGGCTCTAGGGCTCCGCAAAGGCAGCCGGGCTCCTGCCTGCTCAGCACTTTACAGTCCCGGGGAGCTGCTTCGGGCGCCGAACCGGACGCGCTTGTCCCGCCCCGCCCCCCGCCTCCCGGGGTGCGCTCGCGGGAGCTGCGTCTGGCTTGCGCCGCGGCCCCCCGGGGCATGCTGCGGGCCAGGTAGCCGGCTCCCGCGGGGAAGCCGCCCGGCTCCGCCTGCTGCATCGGAGTCAGCCGGGAGCCGCGCACTGCACCGACGCACGGAAATTGCCGGGGATGCAGCCGGGCTGGGGCGCTCAGAGCGGGGCTGGCAGCGCCGCGGGGATGGACGCCAATGGAGCGCGCAGCCCTTACTACGATGAGGATCTTCTGCACAAGGTGGGGGACCCATTCGGGCGGCTTTTCCTGGGGGGAGGGGAATAAACCCTGGTTAAAAATAGAAACAGCCCCGGAAACAAGAGATCCCGCAAAAGGGGGACAGGATCCCGAGCTCCCGGAGGTAGCGGATGTAAAGGGCAGGTGGGAAGTCTATGGAACTGCACCGTAAGATCGGCTGGTAGCCGCCAGAGTCCGGGCACACGCCGGGGGGAGGGGGGAGCCTGCCAGCAGTTGTGGGGTTTATTCCCGGCTGCAAGCCTAATACTGTGTGTTTGCTGTTTCCTGGCGGGAATATAACAGCCGCGCAGTCATCCCCGGGGTGAATAGACACTGTTTGTGTCTTCGCTTCCCACTAAACACTGCTGGTTGACTTCTCCCCCGCCTCCTGCAAGCTGCGGTTTATTTATAGTATGCAAACAACTGTTCTGCAAGATTCTTTGGGCTTGCCAAGTAATTGGGAACTAATGATCTCTCCCCCTCCCCTCCCCTCCCCTCCCTGGCAGCAGACAATATATTAACAAAACGCCGTGCTCAGCAAGAGCAGCTGTTAACCCGTGTTTGTTTCCAGGCACTAATGTGTGTAATTAGGAAAGGAGACAGACACCCAGGTTCAACAGAATCCGCGCGTGTTTGCAAAACAGCCCCTCCGAGTGGTTCTGGGATTCTGCCAGCCCGAGCCAGGTTGGTGCAGCTAACATCGCGGTGCAAACTGTTCTCTGAAAGCGCCAACGCTGTTCTCCTGGCCAGAGCTAAGTTTTTAAAGCTTCCTTCAGTGTTGGACGCAAAGGGCTGGCAGAGAATGACGAGTATAAAGACAAATGGGGAAATGCGGGCTCCACTGAACTCAAAGCGAGTTTTGCCATTGACTGAATTGATTGCATGTTTGGTCTTGAGAAAAGACGACTGAGGAGGGACCTGAGAAAGGTCTTCAAATATTGTTGGGGCGGTTATGAAAAGGACTGTGATCAATTGTTCTCCGTGAGCACTGAAGGTAGGACAAGATGTAATGGGCTTAATCTGCAGCAAGGGAGATTTAGTTTAGATATTAGGCAAAACTTTCTAATTATAAGGGTAGTTAAGTACTGGACTAGGTACCAAGGGAGGTTGTAAAATCCCCATCCCGGGAGGTTTTTAAAAAACAGGTTAGACAAACACGTTAGGGGTGGTCTGGGTTGGGGTAGTAATAGGTGGACCACGGGCCAAATCTGGACCACAAGACACTTTAGAAAGGACCCCAAAATCTTTTTATTTACTTATCATTATTATTTTTTATGATTTTCTCTGGAGTCTGGACCTTGACTATACCTTGGCCAAGAAATTTGATATTGACAAAAATATCTGGTATGGGTGTATTTGGTCCTGCCTCAGGGCATGGGGGATAGACTACATATCCTCTTCAGGTCTCTTCCAGGTGTCTTTCTATGACTCAGTGAAGGCAGGATTTCACCCCAAGTCCCTGCTCCTGAGTGATTACAGTGGGCATTTTCTTAAAGAATCCCCAAAGTAAATTGAAATGAGTAGAGCAGGCTTGTCTGACCCCTCTTCAATGAAAGTGTCCATATCCCAAAATACACTTCTCCCTCCCTTCTCTTCTTCAAATCCCTGTCTCTGCTAGCAACCTTGGATCAGACCTTACAAATGCCCCTGAGCATCATCTTTCCCAGGAGCTTAGCATTATCAAAAGTGCTGCCACAATAAGCATTAAGTTCACCCCTGCTTGGAAGCCTCAGCAGATGGGCCAAGAACAGACTAGCTAGGGAGAGAGTATTTCCCTCTCAGTGTGGGGAAGAAGGCTGCTGCTGCTAGCTGTACTGATCTTGTTTGGTCACTAAAAATGACGTAGGTGCCACTCTCTGGTAGGCCTCCTACTTCACATCACTCCCTTTATCCTATCTGGGACAGCATTCCTAAGGCCTTGAAAGTTTAATGCCTGAGTCCTCTGTGCAGAAGCAAGGGGCCTTAGAAATTGCTGTGGGTTGGCAGCAGGCAGGGCTGAGAGCAGACTAGAGTCGGGCTGCTTAGTAGCTTCTCTGTTTGTAGGCAGACATGTGGCGTCATGGTTGGTTTAGATTCCCCTGCTCAAGGGAACAGTCCTATTAATTGCAATGGGATTACTCACAGCAGCCAGGGCTGTAGGATGGGGCCCGTGATTTTCATGAGAATGTTAATCTCCAGCAACTCCTTTTTTTCCTGATACTCAGAATACGCCGACACATAGAAAAACCCTTTGGGTCCTCGCTGTGTCTTCTTGTCTTCTTTCTGCAGCAATAATCTCCCGCTAACAAACCATGTCAGCAGAAACACTGTCTATGATCTGATTATGTGATTTCACAGCAGAGTAAATGCCCAGGCAAATGGGGGTGGAGGAGCCCCTGGAATATGCAATTGGCTCAGTTGTCTCACTTGACAATTTGATGTCTTATTTATTTTTCCATCAGCAACTAGCTTACTCCTGCCCAAGTTGCACACGTGCAGCAGAGGCTCCCTATGCCCTTGACACAGCGCTGTTTGTTTGTATTGCAGTACTGCCTGGAAGTCCCAAACAGGGATCAGAGCCCGGTTGTTTTAAGCCCTGTACAAACAAGTAGTTCAGATAGTCCCTGCTGCAAAGAACTTACTGTACCTCATCCTTAACCAAGACTGTAAGTGAATGAAACAAGCAGAAGAGGAAGGAGAAGGTAAAAAGTGGGCAGGCTAGCTTTGTGCACAATTGCCACTTGCTTTAGGCCAGGTCGCCGGTTAAAAGTCCTGCCAATGGTGTTATGCCAGTAAAAGCCCCTGTGTAAACACAGTTGCACCAGGATAAAAGTGCTCATACTTGTACAGCTTTCCCGACACAGAATAAGCTCTATTGGCATAAGCACCTAGCTGGTATAACTACGTTTATACTAGAGGAGTTGTGCTGCTTTAGCTATGTCATGTGTCACAGCTTAGCTGGTCTGTAAAGCCGGGCCCAGCAGCAGGTGAGCCCAATCCAGCCAATTAAAGGTGACCAGCAGCACCTGTGCCTTTAAAGGGCAGGAAAGGCAAGGTGAAGGGAGGGTGATCGAGACAGGCAGTGCCTGGGGAAGGGAAGCCACAGTGGAGCAGAGCACATTGTGGTGGTAGGTCTGTGGAGCATGGGGTCAGGCGCTCAGGGAAGCAGCCCTGGGGCTGCTGCTGCTCCAGGAAAGGAGCAGAGCTGACTGCAACTGGGAAGCTGCCAGGAGCAGGAATACCAGAGACCCCTGGGAGGGGTGGCCCAGAAGCTCAAGATGAAGTGAGTCAAATGACTGTTTTCTATTAGCTTACTTGCCTGTTTTAAGAAAATATATTCTCTTAAAGGGGACTTGGTGTAGCACTGTGTGCTTGGAAGGTAAGAGGGTGTCATGGGGGCTTCTATTTGCTGCTTTAACTGTCCTGGCATGGTTAAAGTGTTAAGACCTTTTATCAGTTGCAAGTGTTCTGTATGCAAGTGGGGTAAGTGAGTCATATGGAAGAATCTGCAGGAGAAAGGTTCAGTAATTATACTTGTCTATTAGTACAACTTCACACAAGTAAGGCTTCTGTAAAATATCATGTGTTGTCATGAATAAGCTGTTGTCCTGATATGTTCATCAGTTTTATCTGCCTATAAGAGTCACCATCCAGTGATCTGACTGGATGACCCAGTTCACATTTGGTGATGTGTCTTTAAGGTCCCGATCCTAACAAGTTCAGTGTGTAACTTCAGCATGAGTAGTCGCATAGAAGTCAATGGGGCAAGTTGAATGCTTAGTGCTGAAGCATGTGCTTGAGTGCTTTGCTCAGACTGGGGTTTACATGCTCTCTGGGTTTCTGAGACAGCTATGATAATAGAGCCTGGTGAATATTTAAGATGGTTACATGGGCTGAGTGCTTCCTTGCTTTATGCATTTGAAAGAACTCAGGCAGCAACATCTGACCGCATACAAGCTGTCCTGAATTAACCCCATGAAGATCCTCAAAGGAAGGAAGCTGTCCAGATATGTACATAAAATATTGAAAAATACCAAAGAAAACAAGCATTTTAAAGAACTTCTGATCACTTGAAGGAGTGAGAAGTTTTTTGTTTTGTTTTTTTTCCCCTGGTAAAAATCACAAAAGAGCAACTGAGCAGGATTTGGGGGGGTAAGAGGTGGGGGTTACAGGAATGCAGTGATCTTGCTGGCTGGACAATGTCCTCAGAGCTAATAATGATTTAAAATGAGCTCTGTGTGCACCTTCACAGTCAGGTTTTGATCTGTTTTTAGGGTGCCTAGTACAATGGGGTCCTGGTCTATGGGTGAGGCTCCCGAGTGCTATCATAACTCTACTACTAATCTAAGCATTGAAGATTTGCCTGATGGGAAACACTCATCCCATCCTCCTGACTCTTTCACTTCCTTGCATTAATCATGTATATCTCCTGCACCATTATGTATATTGAGATACAAATAATGGCTTCCATCATCATTAGTCTGCTATTTGATAGCTCCATCTCCATCATTAAATATATTTCTCCTTTTGGAGACATGCATCAAGGTAGCCTTGTCCACTGTTTAAAACTGTCCTAAAAATCCTGCGGTGAGCTCTCCACTCTTTCTGTGGGAGCCTGTCAGGCAGCAATATCGGGGGGGAAAGGACAAGGGCTCTGATAGGGGAGCTCCCATAATAGTAGACTAATAAGAGAGAATATCAATGAGTATATGTTAGAAGTATATGAAATAAGGAATGGTAGATCAGGAGTGTCTATTCTTCCTGCCTCATAACATAAGAACAAGGGACAATGTAATGAAATAAGCAGGTGGAAAATTTGAAACTAATAAAGGGATATTTCCCCCCCCCCACAATGTGTAATTAGACTGTGGAGCTCATTGCCCCTGGAAGTCGCAGAGGCTGAGAACTTAGCATGATCCAAAAAAGGTGCTGGATGTTTATATGGTTACCATAATTATAATGAAATATTTGGAGCCTTATGCTTCAGGGTTTAAGCTGATCTTTAACTTTTGGAGATCAGGATG